ATTGGGGTAGGGAGTTCCAGCGGATAGGGGAAGTCCTTGAGAAGTCCTGCAGTCAGGCGTGGGAGGAGGAGACCAGGGAACTAGAGAGTAGGAGGTCTTGTGAGGAGCGAAGAGCACGGGTAGGGTGATATTTGGGTATCAGGTCAGTGAGGTAGTTTGAGGCAGCGTTATGAATGGCTTTGTATGTCAGAGTTAGTAATTTGAATTTAATGCGTTGGGCAATCGGGAGCCAGTGAAGGGATTGGCAGAGGGGGTGGCAGAAGTGGAGTGGTTGGTGAGGTGGATGAGTCTAGCCGCTGAGTTCAGGATTGACTGGAGCGGGGATAGCATGTGTTTGGGTAGGCTGGTGAGAAGGGAGTTGCAGTAGTCCAGGCGTGAGATAATAAGGGAGAGTACGAGTTGTTTAGTAGTGTCTGGGGTGAGAAACATAAGTATCTTGGAGATGTTGCGGAGGTGGAGCGTGCATGAATTTGATAGTGATTGGACATGAGGTTGGAAGGAAAGGTTTGAGTCCAGGGTGACACCTAGGACTTTGGCGTGTGGGGTGGGATTGATGGTGGCGTTGCTAGTCGTGATGGAGAGGATGGGGGGGCGTGGGCTGGGGGGGAAAACTAGGACTAGGAGCTCGGTTTTGGAAACGTTTAACTTGAGGAAATGGAGCGACATCCAGTCTGATATGTCGTTTAGGAGGTGGGCGATGCGGGAGGAGACTGAAGGGGTGAGGTGAGGAGTGGAGAGGTAAATTTGTGTGTCATCGGCATAGAGGTGATAGTTGAAGCCGTGGGAGTGTATCAGTTTGCCGAGGGAGGAGGTGTAGATGGAGAAGAGAAGGGGCCTGAGGACAGAGCCTTGGGGGACCCCAACAGAGAGGGGGAGGTGGTAGCATTATAGGTAACGCTGAAGGAGCGTTGGGATAGGTAAGAGGAGAGCCAGGAGAGAGCAGAGTCCCTGATGCCAAGGGAGTATAGTTTAGTAAGGAGGAGGGGGTATAAAACATTTAATAAAACGTTTTGGTTGGTATTTGAAGATCTATGCCATTAAGAGCTATCTAAAATGAATATATTAGCACTATATTAGTATGCAGGATGTATCTAAGGTACCATCTCAAATTGCATACATGCCACAGAGCAACACCTACCGATTAGGGTAGTATGAGCAGGCCTTATTCACAGTGGTATGGTGATAAAGACATCAAAAGCTGGACCGTAGGACATACACACAAAGTATAGCCAAATCTCTTTTTTTGTTAGTGGTAGGAGACCTCATAACAGGAAATTGGCCTATGGGCCTAAAAAAGAGAGGTGAAAAAAAGGAAAACAAGCCAAGTAATGTATATATGGTAGTATAGGACTAGGCACCACCCTGTCAAACAGTTACATAAGTGTCCATGAATGGTGGGTGTCTTACCGTGAGTTTGGTGCTTCGGTGCTAGATCACAGAGAGCTCGTGACAGAAACGTCCTCCAGGGCAAACACCTTGATAAGAATGGCAAAGAACGAATGCCGGTCTGTGACTGCGCGCCGATGCCAAACGCGTATAACGTCACCTCGCACCGGCCGTCAGTGATGCACACCCACTGCAAATGGAGGCCGCTCGTGTGCACAAGGGAGGATTGAGGATCCGCCCTCTAAAACTGCAGGTGCATTGCCCCAAGCATTGGGCAGGACATGTCGCGGCCACCCGGCCACACGCCAGGCCCAAGGAGGACGGACTCCCACCCAAAGGGTAGATTACAGTCTGGTTACAGCAATACAACAACATAGTAAAGATGATAGACATCTACCATACAGCAGGGGATTATTTATCCGAGAGGCAAGTATTGAGGATTGAAAGGAAAAATTGGGAGATATTGCTAATGCTAATATTCCTAAACTGGGTCCATACAAGGACTACATGGGCCAAGAGTCATAACACACTCAGTCTACTTCTCTAATCTTAAAGAAATGGTTTAAATGATATTATCTCATTGAGGCCTGGTGAATGTACTGCATTAATCCCAGTTCCCTCTACTTGGATCCTTAGTTACTGACATCATCGTGGCTCGGCCAGTCAGCCAGCCAGAGCTCGCAAACCCGGAAGGAAGACCAGGTGAAGATGGAAGCCCCGGGAGCCGTTACAGTGCTCTGCTGGAGGGCTTTGTTTCAAGGTGAGTCCTTCATAATGTGTTTTTTATGCAATGCATACTAGCACATTATGCCTTTACCTTGCAGAATTTTTTTTTTTTTTTTTTTTTTTATGCGGTTTACTACCGCTTTATGGTCTTCCACATGGTGACCTGGTTGAGAAATGATGTGCCACAGGTGTACAACTGATTTTCTGTACAAGGTCAACAAGATACAGTAATAACCACCAAATACACTTCTAGTAACTACAGTATGGATGTAGAATCTCTGTCCAGTAACATCACTCACAAGGATGGGTTGGCTACATGTCACAAATTCTTATCATCCTCACCAAACCAAAAACATAGCTCTAAGGATGTTACATACCTCATTGAATTAATTCTTGCACACAACTACTTTCGCTTTCTGGTTCAATAGTTTTTATTTGGTTTTCGAAACATATTGAAATGAGCACTAATTTTGCCCACACAGGGGCTAAGAAAGGAAATATTTCTTAGTGCAAAACATATTAGGGTGCTAAATATAGCCAGAACAGTAGAATGTACAAATAAATGAATGGGAACACCAAGTAGAATACCTCAGTATTCTAAGTCAATGTAAGTACATAAAAAAAAACGCCAGAGAGTATACTTCCTATCCTTAGTTCGACCCAAAATAAGGAAAAAAAATGGAGGTTAAAGACCTCAAGAGTAAGAGAAAGAAAGTGAAGAGAAAGGAAGGTGAGAGAGGAGAGAGGAGGATAGGGGGCAAAAGTGTGGAAGGGTCAACTACACCATTGTCAATTATGACATCTATCTTCAATGCATGGGTACTGCTACGGGAAGTAAAATGGCACAAAATGCAAACTTATTATGGTTAACCTGGAGGACAAATTCCCGAACATCATGTGACAAAAGCTATATTGATACTATCGCTTTATCGATGACATTTTCATCGTATGGACAGAAGGTGAAGAAAATCTAAAACAATTTTGTCATTGCTCAACACTTTTCGCCCATCAATCAAATGAAAAATTGATTATTCAAACACATGTCAACATCCTGGACACCACAATATCTGTCAGGAATAACAAGCTGCACACCTCAATATACAGGATTCCCACTGACAGCTGTAACTATCTTGACAATTTCAGTTTTCACCCCAACACACTAAATGGGCTATCATACACAGCCAGACTATCAGATACCACCGAATATGTTAAGAAGACAGAAACAAACATCTCAGAACACTAGCAGACTCCTTCAATGAGAAGGTTTACAGGGACAGAACCAACAATACAGACATTGACATGGCCATGAAAACTCGAAAAAGAAAATTTCCTCCAATAAAAAGAGAAAAAAATAACTGTGTACCTCTAGTAACCACATATAACCCAGCAATAGAAGAAATAAGAAAGATAAGTTAAAGTTTTACAACCCGTCATAACAGAAGGTGAAATTCTGAAATAAATATTAAACAGCCCCAAATACTGGCTTTCAAGCAAGCACCCAACTTCATACATAAATAAACACACACACACACAAAAGGGACCTTTAATATGGATCATACAACTGTACCCCCAGTGATGTTGTGTACCGCATCCAAAGCAAAAAATGTAGCTAAGGATCTTATGTTGGTGAAACAACATAATTACAAACAAGAATGAAGTTGCATAGACACACCATTAAGGAACATAAGTAAGATGATTTCTGCACAGCTTTGGGACATCATATCTTACAACGCGATCACCCTATGGAAGATCTAAAGTTTTAGTTTGATCTCACATTATCAGCAACGTTAACCAGATATAAAAGCAGATAACTAAAAATGAAATAAGAACAAAGGATCCATTATGGTTTAGTATATAAAGCCAACGTTCTTTAATAGCTACTTACACGTTACTGCAGCAATGATACATGAATAGAAAGGTGCCGCTCAACTGAGCATGTGTGATGACATCAGCACTAGCTCTGTCCAACACGTTTTGTCATAAAGAGGTTATCTCGGGGCCAGTGAATAGCACAGATGGAATGCGGAAGCCATATAAAGACAATATCAGTGGGAAAACGTGTCCTCCAACTATCAGGCACTACAGTGTATTTAGAAAACTAGTAACAAAGCCAATATTCAGGTTAATATTCAAGAAGGATATAAGTGAGTGACTCTCCCAAATGCATTGAAAATTAGAATTAGAAATCCTACAAATAAATGTACCTTCGGGGTAGACAGGAAAAACAAACCCCACCTGGTGGTCAATTTCAAAAAACCACAGCACATTAAAAAAATCATAGTGTCTGGGATGAGAGGATTTCTTTTTCTCAAATAAACGTATTAAAATACCACACACAAATAACCAAAAGAATAAACAGATGATATCAATAAAAACAATAACAAAAACATATAAAGGAGGAGCTTTTAATTGTTATTAATAAAGCAATTTAAGTCCCATTCTACATTATGTCCAAATGGGGTCATATTCTTTCAGTTCAAAATTTCAAAATATTTTTTTTTTTGTGAATGTGTAATTTGTTTTGTTTGCTCTGTGTTTTAGAATTCCAGAGTGTTCATAAAGTATATTGTTGTTGTCAAGTCTAGGTTTTTTTTTTGATCATTGTCAAAAAAAAATATTTTATAACTCGGAAAAACATGGGAGGTCAGCTTCATATCAGAGATGATAGTTAAGGTGGAGAGGTCACCTTCATATCAAAGATGATTGTCAAGGTTCTCTTCATATCAGAGATGATTGTCAAAGTGGAGAGGACATCTTCGTATCAGAGATCATAATCAAGGTGGTGAGGTCATCTTCCTACCAGAGATGATTGTCAAGGTCATCTTCATTTCAAAGATCATAGTCAAGGTGGAGAACTCCCTTTTGAGATAGAAATATGGGTTAGAAGATTAGCGTTGGCTCATAGATATCATGTAGGGTCTTGCAGTAAAGCTTCCACTATTGGGTACAGGGGAGATGTCGATCTCTTCAGGGACCATATTGCATTTGAGGTCAAACATTTGCAAAATGTATGTAAGAAACAAGAAAATTTCCATCCTGGCAAGACTCTCTCCAAGGCAATTTCTCTTACCTGTTGGAAAGAGAAAAATGATACAACCCATTACATAAGTGTGTAAAAGTGTATGTATAGCCAAAACTATTTTTTTTAACTTTATAGAGCATGATATGATTACAAAACCTGACAGTTTTTTGTTTTTTCTGTCTCTGTCTGGTTGGGGAAATATTCATTTAATCCCTGCTCCAAGCATACAACAGAACGTAAGAGAAAATCTCCATAAAGTGAGGATCATTCCTCTTTTAGACAACAGTTATTGGAAGAGATGTTCCCATTGGAAGACTTCTCCATACTTCTTAATTGGAGATAACTGCAAAATTTCAAATTTTTGACAATGGTCACCAAAACGAAAATAAGGTGAATCTACCTAGTGGGGACACAGAAACACAACTTGAGTATTTAATCCTTCCTTACTGTTTAAGAAAAAAAAATAATAGCTATTACATACACTTTTAAGGAACCCTGTTGCTTACGATAAAATATTTTATCCTGAAAAAAGCCTGTGAAAAGGAAGTTAAAGTGTTATTAGGTCCTCAGCGTTAAATGTGATATACACCTATCAGCCATAACACTGACAGGCAAAGTGAACAACTGATTATCTCATTACAATGACATCTGAAACTTGGTGGGACATATTGGGCAGTAAGTAAACACAGTTTGTTGTGTATAGAGCTACGTAGCCTCAGACTGGCCAGGGTGCCCATGCTGACTGTGTCCACAGCCAAAAGTGTCTACAATGGACATGTAAGCATCAGAACTGGACCATGGAGCAATGGAAGAAGGTGGCCTGGTCTAATGAAACACTTTTTCTTTTACATGGGGAATAGATGGCACCAGGATGAGAAGAATGCAAGCTAGCAGAGGCAGTGTGATGCTTTGGGCAATGCTCTGCTTGGAAACCTTTGGTCCTGCCTTTCATGTGGATGTTACTTTGACACATATCACATACCTAAATTTTTCGCTGACCAAATACACCCCTTCATGGAAATGGTATTCCCCTCTTTCATTAGGATAATGTGCCCTGATTCACTGCAAAAAAATGGTTTAAAATGGTTTCGGGAACACAACAAGTCTGAGGTGTTGACTTGGTCTTCAGATTCTCCAGGTCTCAGTCCAAATGAGCATCTTTGGGATGTCCTGAAAAAACAAGTCGGATCCATAGAGGCCCCACTTTGCAACTTACAGGACTTAAAGGATCTGCTACTGACAGTTTGGTGCTAGATACCACAGCATACCTTCAGAGGTCAGGGGCTTACATGGTTCAGAGCTGTTTTAGTAGAAAAAGGGGGGCTACTCAATATTAGACGGATCATCATCATGTTATAGCTGATTAGTGTATAGCAGCATACTACAGCATTTACAATGTTCGCAGCTTCTCACTATTTTTGCAAGTCTGTCTCTTCTTATTTCCACCCTTAGGATTGCTATACTGCCTGTACTCCAAACAATATTCACTTTATTGAACCAGGAAAAAACCAATAGAGTCAGTGGAAATACAGAGGGGGAATGGCAGGTAAATGCATTTCACGCTAAAGACAGCACTTATTCAATGTAATAAATGATGAACAAGCGCTGTCTTTAGCGTGAAATGCATTTACCTGCCATTCCCCCACTGTATTTCCATTGACTCTATTGGTTTTATCCTGGTTCTATAAAGTGGTTTGTTTGGAGTGCAGCCCATCGGACTTACTTTGTTACTTGTTTTTAGTCTCTCTACCTTGAGCAGCAGTAAATATATATGTAAGAACAAGTATCACAGTCTCAGAAGCATAGAAGAAGCATACAACAAATAAAAGTCAGAAAAGTCAGAATTCATTATCATTAGGCTTGCTCTGGGCCATGGGCTCAATGTATTGACATCAAGGCAATAGCATGCTACCCAGGCAACTAGCATATTCAGAAGGAAAGCAGCAAGACACCCTGACCACTTTCTTATGGTAGTTCAAAATGTCTCACATTATCTCACTGGTAAAAAAACATGAAACAGATGGGATTAGGTTCTTTAACAGCTTCCTGGCTGCCCTATAGCAGAAGTATTGCTACAGGGCGGCAGGGATGCGCATAATCACGTATATATGGGATTTTGTATTTCCGGGCAGGGGGCGCCTGCGCGCTCCCTACCGTACTGCTATTGGCTCCTCGGCATGTCAATCCTCGGGTCCCAGCCGCCGATTCTCAGCCATGACTCTGTGATCGTCGGCGGAGCTGACAGGGGAGAGGTCTGTATGTAAACAATACAGATCTCTCCCCTGTCAGCATGAACAGACTACTTTGTATTGCTCTGCACAGCAGCTTGTTTCACAAGTAAAACAAAACACAGCACACAGTTAACCATTTCATTGCCCTAGATGTTAACCCCTTCCTGCCCGGTGTCATTAGTACAGTGTCAGTGCTTCTTCTTAGCACTGATCACTGTATTAGTGTAACTGGGGATGTCAGTGGCAGTTAGTCACCCCCCCCCCCCCCCCCAGTGTCAGAATGCCCTCCGCAGTCCCACAATAAGATTGCCGCCATTACTAGTAAAAAAACAAAACAAATTCCAGTATATATACCGCCATTTGTAGATGCTATAACTTTCACTTAAACCAATTAATTTACACGTATTGGGATTTGTTTTAGCAAAGACATGGAGCAGAATGCATTTTGGCCTAAATTTATGACTAAATTTGATTTTTAAAATTGTTTTATTAGACATGTTTAGTAGCAAAAAGTCAAAAGTATTGTTTTTTTCTCAAAATTGTCGATCTTTTTTTGTTTGTAGCGCAAAAAATAAAAAACACACAGGCGATCAAAACCACCAAAAGAAAGCTCTATTTGTGGGAAAAAAGAACGCAAATTTAATTTGGGTGCAGTGTTGCATGACCGCGCAATTGTCAGTTAAAGTAACGCAGTGCCGTATCACAAAAAATGGCCTGGTAAGGAAGGGGGGGAAATCTTCTGGAGGGCAAGTGATTAAACCAAAAATATAACACAGTCTATATTTCTTTCACTGGTGATTCTGGAAAGGGAATTGAGATATGTGCTATTAGTAGTTTCTGAGCAAGGGTTTGGAAAACACCATTTTATTGCTGTAAAATATAAATAATCAGCACTGCAAACCTTACCCAGAGAGAAGGGGATGAAGGCATCAATCTTCTTCAGATTTCCCTTATCATCTAGAAAATGTTTTGGATCAAACGTCTGTGGATTCTTGAAGTATTTCTCATCTTTTAGGGCGGTGGTTAACATAGGGAACACAGTAGTACCCTAGAGAGTAATACAATACATTAAAAAAACTAATTAACAACCAGATAAAAATATATATGAATCCATATATTCATATCCTAAAATGCTGCACCATGTTTCTATTTTTTTTTACATAGGTATACATCAAATATTAAAGTGTTACTAAACCCCGGACCCTGCATTCACTATATCTGGTCTCCCACAGTACACAGAACATGGAAATGCAATTATTTTAGTAAATATGAACTGCTAAATACCTTTTCTTATCAGCAGTTGGAGCAGTCTTGTGACTTCTATCAGTGTCCAGCAGAGCACTGGCTAATTTTGTAGGAGTTTTCATTCTCCTCCTATCCCAATATACCTTTATTGGTATTTTTTCTTATCAAAGACATGAAGCAGAAAACATTTTGGCCTAAATTTATGATGAAATTTTAATTTATTGGATATGTTTTTATAACAGAAAGCAGAAAATATTGTTTGCTTTTTGTTTGTTTGTGTAATTTGGGGGGGGTTGTTAATATAATAAAAATAGTGCTGATCAAATACCGCCAACAGAAAACTACATTTATGTGAAAAAAAAAAAGACATACATCTAATTTACGTACAGTGTTGCATGACTGAGCAATTGCCAGCTAAAGTACCACAGTGCTGAATAGCTAAATATGGATTAGTCAAAAGGTGGTAAAACCTTCCAGAGGTGAAATGGTTCAAACTAGATGGAAAAAGAAATTTTCTACAATACATAGCAACAAATGTGGTATTTTGCACAGTTTGGTTGAAAGCACAAGCCACTGTGGCAGTTATTATTCATGGCATGCTTTGAATGTTTTGGAAAACAGTGAAATCGGTGGGTTTAGTTCTGCTTTGCATGATATAAAGTTTAATAATCTCTTTTGATGTCAAAATTAAACATAAATCCTCCTAGATACATTAAAAATCACTGAATAGCCCATTGGATGTTCCAAAATTTTACTTTGATATGTAGTTGTAAAACATTTTATGCACCAGGTCTATGATCCCAGCAGTCTGGTCTTCAGTATACTGACCTTTGGGATGTGGTACCCTCTGAACGTTGTGTCCTGGCTTGTGGAACGTGCAAGCCCCAAGGGCACAATATCAGCAAATCTCTGAATCTCGTGTATCACTGCATCTGTGTATGGCATTTTAATTCTATCCTCCACTGAAGGACATCGGCTCTGCCCAATCACGTGATCAATTTCCTCTTGGATCTGCTCTATTGGAAGATATGGACACATATTGGTTTAAAGGGTTTGTGACAATCTGACAAAACAATACAATTAGGATGATATGGCAGAAATTTGTTTAAAGTAATTCTAAAAGCTAAACCTCAATGCATTTTTTACCCCAATACACAGCCTAAAACAACCTGGCTGATACCTTGTCCATTTCAAAAGATTAAAAAAAGAGAGAAGAGGGAGACAAAGTGACAAGGGGCAAAAGACCTTGGGTGCCATCATCCCAAACCAAAGAATGACTACAACAAAGTAAAAAGCAGGGACTTTCTGGGAAATGTTGATGAATCTGTATCCCTGTGTGCCATCCTAGAAAGCCACTAGTTTTTACTTTGTTGTAGTCTGTTCTATCCAAAACAAAGAAACAAAAAGTTTTGGCTAGAGATACACTTTAATAAAGAAGGAAAGAGATGTATTTCAATGTTGAAGAAGCTCAGATACATACTTCTCACATCTGGGTATTTCAGCAGGATAAGTAATGCATATCTCAGGGTAGTGCCGGAGGTCTCCGTCCCGGCAAAAAACAGATTCATCACATTCACAAGCAAATTGTTAAAGTTAAATTCTGTATTGAGGTTGTCCTTTTCCTGGAGTGAAAAGAGTAAAAATGCAATTTCAGAGGTGTATTTAGACATCATGCTACCCAAGAAAAAAAGGTAATTGTGACACCACATTCTGAAGACCACCACACCTTTGAATAATTTTACAACATCCAAAGCAAGAATGTGTTACAAGAGGTAGCGTGTCCTCTGCTTTGTATTCAGAGCCATTTTTTCAACTTAAACTACCAACAAATTCAAAAGGAGATAGGTTTGTGCTGACATATAAGCTGCTCCAGGTGTCAACGTCCCCTAATGCATCAGCACCATGATAGTGCAGAACACATCATCAGGTAGAAAACACCACCACGAGGAATAATGTCCTAGCAATGTGGAGATGTGTAGTATGCTGGTTTTAGGATACATACATATTAGCCTCTTATTTGCCGTTGATGCTGCCAGTGATACTTGGATATATACATGGATATACATGGGCGGCACAGTGGCTTAGTGGTTAGCACGTCTGCCTTGCAGTAAATGGGTCATGGGTTCGATTCCCGACCATGGCGCCTCCTGCATGGAGTTTGCATGTTCTCCCTGTGCTTGCGTGGGTTTTCTCCGGGTCCTCTGGTTTCCTCCCACACTCCAAAGACATGCTGGCAGGTTAATTGGATCCTGTCTAAATTGTCCCTAGTATGTGTATGTATGAATGTGAGTTAGGGACTTTAGATTGTACACTCCTTCAGGGTTAGGGACTGATGTGAATGTTCAATATATATGTGTAAAGTACTGCGTAAATTGACAGCGCTATATAAGTACCTGAAATAAATAAATAAATTTCCATGAATAAACTGCTGCACATCATACTAAACAGGAATTCAAGCTTATTTCACTACAGTGTTATAGATAAGATTGATGGAATGGATCTGCAGCTTGTGGTCTAACTGGAGAAATTGAATTGTGTGAAACAACAGCCATTGAATCCTTGGCTTAGGTTCTGGTGCAAGATAAGAGGGGGCAGGGAAGGGTAAAGCCACAGGTGGTGTACAGCAAATATTTCTAACAACAGGCTGAAAAACAGATCCCACCAAGTAGATAGTGATGGATACAATATCAAGGACTGATGACTAGGAAAAACTTTGTAGTTAAAAAGTGAGAATGTAAACCAGCCTTGTTATGGTAAGAGGAGCTAATAGAAAAAAACAGGAACACTTTTTTAAAGCAGAAGATATCTGCATGTCTCACGTCCATTACAAATCCTAAATATAAGAAGTTCATTTATCTTTTAAGACCGTGGGAAACGCATTACAAATCATTCCTTTTGCCCCTTGGTCAACTATTTTTGCTGTGTGCCTTTCTGGTTGCTCTCCAAGCCCCACTCCATAGAAACCATGGTTCCGATAAATTGCACTGATAATGACTAGGGACGAGTTTGGATTTGGACTGAACATAAACTTTAGCTGTCATTGATGGGCCAAATGAACTGCAGGCAGGAGATTCCCTACCCCATAGCTGCATGTATACAAAAGGGCAGGGATGTTTGTGACCTATAATGGCCATATGTCTATCCTGAACTCAGCGGCCAGACTCATCCACCTTACCAACCGCTCCGCATCTGCCACCCCCCCTGTCATTCCCTCCACTGGCTCCCGATTGCCCACACATTAAATTCAAACTACTAACACAGACATACAAAGCCATTCATAACGCTGCCCCAAACTACCTCACCGACCTGATACCCAAATACCACCCTACCCGTAATCTTCGCTCCTCACAAGACCTCCTACTTTCTAGCTCCCTGGTCTCCACCTCCCACACCCAACTGCAGGACTTCTCCAGGACTTCCCCCATCCTCTGGAACTCACTACCCCAATCCATCAGACTGTCACCTACCCTCCTCACCTTTAGGTGCACTCTGAAAACCCATCTCTTCAGGGAAAGCCTACCCTGCCCTCACCTAACAGCCGATCTCCTCCTACCACTCCATCCCCCACAGCCATTTTCCTCCTGTACCACTATCCCCTCCCTCCTAGATTGTAAGCTTGAAAGAGCAGGGCCCTCGAACCCCTCGTGTTCTGTTTTGTTATTGTATTGTCTCATGTACTGTCCCCCACTATAATGTACAGCGCTGAGCAAACTGTTTAGTGCTATATAAATACTGTATAATAATAATAATATGTTCATATTAGGTCAATGAAGTCACGAGCATCCCCACACCTTTGTGCACACCAGCTGCGGGGTGGTGAATTTCCACCTGCAGCTCAGCAATGACTTCTAACTTTTGGGTTGAGACCAAACCCAAGATCATCACCAATGACGACCAACAAGTTTAAAGCAGCTGTATGCAGTTTAGCATGAATGTATATATAACATTAGGCTGCATCTTTGCTATAAATCAATAGTTCTTAATGTACAGTTGTCCCAGCAGTTTGTAGCACCTTCCTTACCCATGCAAGACTATACACTAGGTCCAGTTTAATGCTCTCCACCACAGCAGCATACCTTCGTTTCCCTCTCCCACTACTCCATATATTTGAGAAGTAAAGCCCCATGTAGGCTTGGAGTCACTGGACTCATTGCTTTAACAGAGCTATGAACGTCCTGTGTGACAGCTTTGATTAGCCCAGTGCTGTCACATGGAACGAGTCACGTACTCCTCTATAACTGAAAGTACCAAGTATTTCATTTTGCTTCCAGCATCGAACAGAGCAATGGAGGGAGAGCAGGAAAAGTAAGTATATGCATGAGATATATAGGCAATAAAAAAAACATGTTGCTTTTCCCTTTAGTGAGCATTGCACACTCACAGTTGTTTAACTATACTTATGATGTTGTTGCCAATTAGACCACAAAATGGACCAATTAGGCCCCTTTCACACTGGCGATTTGATCAGATGGAGCTGGTCAGAAGGCCTATACATTCCTATGGACAGGTGGTTGTAAACAAACTTGTATCACCCGCCTACCTTTGGGTCCACTAAAAAAACTGAACGGTATCTGTCCATTTCTGTTTAGGTGGATCAGATTAGAGGGTAGTCGGGTAGTCAATTTACTCCCAGCTGCCCATAGAGCAGAGCGGGCTCTGTCCATATCTGCTCTGCAGAAACTGAGCGGACATGGCCTGTCATCTTCCCACTCTGCTCCTATCAGCAGGGGATCCGTGAGCTGACCCCCTGCTGATCGGAATGGAATTTTCCCCATGTGAAAGGGACCTAATGGTTTCATTTGTCTTCACTGTAATTTATATACAGGACATACGTACGTAAATTATACAACAGAACTGTAGAAGAAAAGGATGGCTGACTGTTTAAGATGAAACAATGAACTCTGTAACAGTTCACTATATAATAAAGGCACCACGCATTCACCACTGCTAACGATAGACCTATTATTAAATCATGGTACTGCAATCTGGAGCTTTGACATGTTTGCTGTGAAAGCAATTAGTATTCTGTATCACTAGAGGAATGAGAAAGAAGGTGTGTATGTGTTGGGAGGCTTAATGGTTTCCCCATCAAACTTAGTGCTATGGATAACACTTAATAGATATTTCTCTGTTAGTTGGTTGGATTCAGCTGCTGTCTCTACATATCTCTTGGGTTCTCCACTGGCATGATGGTTCTCCCTTAATTTGTGGCTATGTTCCCATTCTCCTTGGAGTCCAGGGTGTTTCCACTACCTCATCTTCAGAATAAATTAGGTGATACATTGAACAGTGAGACTGGAACATGCCTTATATGAGGACAGCAGATGCACAATGCTGAGTACCTACATACTGTACAGAGAGCTTGCCACCAAAGATATGTAAGAAACTTTTAAATGGTTTACCTCTCCGGTATCTATTCTACTAGCCCCAAAATATGAGTTTTGGGTGAACTGTCCCTTTAAGAAGTCTTTGTAAGAAAAAATTGACTTAACATAACATGTACATTATTGAATTCTGTATTCCTTCCATGCTGTATCTCAGCCACTTTTTGTGCACCAACATTGTTTGGGGCATGAGAAGCAGTTGCTACTTTTTTGGAGCTCACACTATTTTCTTGCACATGTCACAGAACATGTCATAATAAACTACAAGCAAAGCAGACCTCACCTCTCTCATCTTTATTAGGAAACAATCGATGTAATCTCTGGGGCAGTTCTCATCCAGAGTAGCCTCGTGCATTCTGATCTTCTTCATCACAAATTCATTCACCTTGTCAAAATTCTTAAACACTGTGTGGTGGCTGCCAGGCAGGTACATGAAGAGACGAGGTGCCAGTGCAAAGATCTACAAAGGCAGAATACAATCTGATAAAAAAAAAATTGTACTACTAAGATCCACTATGCCTCTAAATGCTGTCTCAAAATGACCCTACCATTTCACCCCCCAACATTTATACTGGGAACCTATATATTTACCAACAACTACAACCCCAGTTTCAAAATCTACATAAAAACAGAAAGCAACGATTTGCAAATCTCATAAACCCACATTTTGTTTTACAACAGAAATAGAAAACCTATCAAATGTTTAAACTGTGAAAATGTACCACTTTAAGAAGAAATAAGGTAATTTTGAAATCGATGGCAGTAACACTTCTCAAAAACATTGGGACAGGGCAACAAAAAACTGGCAAAGTAAGTGGTACTAACAAGGAAGAGCTACATTTTGTACCTAATTAGGTTAATTGGCAACAGTTCAGTAACATGACTGGGCATAAAAAAAGAGCATCTTAGAGAGTCAGATTGTCTCAGAAGTAAAGATTGGCAAAGGTTCACTAATATGTGAAAAGCTGTGTCTAAAAATCATCAAAGTAGCACCATAGTAGAAAAATCTGGGTGCTTAGCTGGCCTTCTGCAATTGAAAATATTTACACACATGAAACATGAAAACAAAAAGAAATCCAGGACTGTTGAGCAGTTAGAATCATATATAAGGCAATAATGGGACAACATTCCTCTCCCAAAACTGTAGCAACTGGTCTCCTCAATTCCCAGATATTTAAAGAGTGTGTTAAAAGAAGACGGGATGCTACACTGTTGTAAACATGGCCCTGTTCCAACTTTTTTGTGAAGTGTTGCTGGCAATTTCAAAATTACCTTATATTTTTTTCTTAAAATAGTAAATTCTTCTCAATTTAAACATTTGATATGTTTTCTATTGTGAATAAAATATGTATTTATAAGATTGCAAATAATTGCATTATGTTTTTATGTCGATTTTACACAGCATCCCAACTACACTGCTCAAAAAAATTAAAGGCAACACTTTGAAAACAAATCAGATCTCAATAGGGAGAAATCTCCTGCTGGATCTCTATACTGATATGGACGGGGTAATGTGTTAGGAATGTAAGGATACCCCATCGTTTGATGGAAATGAAAATTATCAACCTACAGAGGACTGAATTCAAAGACACCCCGAAAATCAAAGTGAAAAAATGATGCAGTAGGCTAGTCCATTTTGCTGAAATTTCATTGTAGCAACTCAAAATGGTCCTCAGTAGTTTGTATGGCCCCTACATGCTTGTATGCATGCCTGACAACATTGGGGCATGCTCCTAATAAAACAACGGATGGTGTCCTGGGGTATTTCCTCCCAGATCTGGACCATGGCATCACTGAGCTCCTGATTAGTCTGAGGTGCAACCTGGTGGCATCGGATGGACTGAAACATGATATCTCAGAGGTGTTCTATTGGATTTAGGTCAGGCAAGTGTGGGGGCCAGTCAATGATTTCAATTCCTTCATCCTCCAGTAACTGCCTGCATACTCTCGACACATGAGGCCGGGCATTGTCGTGCACCAGGAGGAACCCAGGACCCACTGCACCACCGTAGGGTCTGACAATGAGTCCAAGGATTTCATCCCGATACCTAACGGCAGTCAGGGTGCCATTGTCTATCCTGTAGAGGTCTGTGCATCCCTCCATGGATATGCCACCCCATACCATCACTGACCCGCCACCAAAGCAGTCATGCTGAACAATGTTACAGGCAGCATAATGTTATCCTTGGCTTCTCCAGACCCTTTTATGTCTGTCACATGTGCTCAGGGTGAACCTGCTCTCATCTGTGAATAGCACAGGGCGCCAGTGGTGGAACTGCCAATTCTGGTGTTCAATGGCAAATGCCAATCAAGCTCTATGGTGCCGGGCAGTGAGCACAGGACCCACTAGAGGATGTTGAGCCCTCAGGCCACACTCATAAAGTCTGTTTCTAATTATTTGGTCAGAGACAATCACACTAGTGGCCTGCTGGAGGTCATTTTGTAGGGCTCTGGCAGTGCTCATCCTGTTCCTCCTTGCACAATGAGCAAATACCGGTCCTGATGATGGGTTTAATAGTTGTATTATTGGTCTAGATGTCAGGGGGGGGGGGGGGGGGGGCACCAGTTGGGAGGAATATTATGAGCTCAGTTTTAAGAATATTTAGTTTGAGGAAGTAGTGTGACACCCATACTGATATGTCAGTTAGTAAGTAATGCAAGAGGAGACAGGAGTGAATTGTGGAGTAGAGAGCTAGATTTGGGTGTTGTCAACATGCAGATGGTCTTGGAAGTTGTGGGAGGTTATTACGTGACCAAGTGGGGAGGTTTGGATAGAGAAGACGTCCAAGGACATAGCCTTGGAGGGCCCCTACAGAAAAAGGAAGTGGAGGAGACAAAGTTGTAGGTAACACTGACGGAGCGCTGTGATGTGCATTGGACTGACTTTTCACTAACAGGAGCGGCCATGGATAGATTGAAATTCGGCTGGTCCCTGCTGAACCAGATTAATTTTGAACCATCTTTTGCTAGCTTTAGCCACCCACTGCCAATCCTTAGTTATGCTTGAAAAGATTAATTTACTGTATAACCAGCTCTGATACCACTATAAGATCAGCCTACCTGAGCCCATGGTGAAGTCACAATTCTGAAAGACTCTTTTATAAGAGCCAACATGGACAGGAACTCCTCATCTTCATAGTCAAAGCGCTCATTGAAAAAAATAGAGCAAGTTATGTTGGAGACAGCCAGGCTCAAAAGAAATGTAGGATCAAATGGGACTCCTAGAAGAGAAATGAAACCTTGGCTTGGTATCAAGAGATCCCCGAACTTTCCACTTCTTAAATAAATAATTGAACAGTACTGACTGGCATATTCAAGGCTTTGGATATCTTTTTATATACTTTTCTACCTTTATAAAGTTCTATTACCTTTTTACGTGGGTCTTTTGACAGTTCTTTTCTGCTCCCCATGGCTCAGTATCTAGTCTGCTCAGTGCATCCATTTGAGAGCTAACACACTAACTGACTATTTATACACAGGCACTAAATACAATTTAAAAAGCCACAGATTGATGAAGTCATAATTACATAGTTAGTCTGGCTGAAAAAAGACAAAAGTCCATCCAGTTCAACCATAGAAAAAAAAGTTATAATTCTATACTCACAGTTAATCCAGAAGAAGGCAAAAAAAAACCCAGCAAAGCATGATCCAATTTGCTCCTGCTGGGAAAAAAATTCCTTCCTGATCCCCCGAGAGGCAATCGGATATTCCCTGGATCAACTTTACATATAAATGTTAGTATCCAGTTATATTCTATATATCTAAGAAAGAATCCAGGCCTTTTTTTGAAGCAATCCACTGAGCTGGCCAGAACTAACTCTTTAGGGAGTGGGAAATTAACCTTTAATTGCCATTTTAACCCGTGTGTGCCACCTTGTGTGTCTGTACCAAGACCAAATATTCCAGGGTGTGTAAACTTTTGATCAGGGCTATTTGGATGATTTCTGTTATTTTGATTTAAAAAGGAGCTAAACAACTACTGTATGAGATAGTAAATGGCTTCATATGATCACTTTCCTTAAATAAAAGACATTTTTTTGGTATGATCAGTCATATTTTTAATATCAGTGCCAAAATTTCACAATTTCTTACAAGGTATACAAACTTTTGAGCACAACTATAAATCAAGCAGCATAAGTCTTCTTCTAGACCAGTGGTTCTCAACCTTCCTAATGCCGCGACCCTTTAATACAGTTCCTCATGTTGTGGTGACCCCCAACCATAAAATTATTTACCCAGTAATTATAATTCATGAGTGTCGTTTTACCTCCAATACGGCTGCTTTCAACACAGTAGCTGCTTTTAACAGAGTAGCTGATTTCAACACAGCAGCTGCTTTCTACACAGTAGCTGCTCTTTACACATCGGAAATATGTGTTTTCTGATGGTCTTAGGGACCCCTGTGAAAGGGTCGTTCGACCCCCAAAGGGGTCGCGACCCACAGGTTGAGAACCACTGTTCTAGACTGTCTCAGTGCACTCTATTGACAGAAAATACTCCTTTTGCTCCTCTATCGTGACAGGACAATGTCAACACTTGGAAATTGCTCCTAAAAACTTACTACTAACCTTCTTTCTTCTGAAACTCCTCTGCTAAACACTTGGCCTCCTCTTGTACCCGTTCCTCCAGACTTCTTTTACCCATTCCAAAATTCCTCAGGGTGTCAGGGTAAAATCTTCTCATCTGTTTCCAGCGCTCACCATTGCTGAAAAAACTCCTGTATGTAAAGAAGTACCAATGGCACATACTTTTTTTTTTGGATTGCCAAAATGACTACTTTTACAATTAATGATTTCCACCGCACTACTGGCAAAAGAACACAGTTGTAATTAAAAAATTACAGAAAAAAAACACAGTATTGGGAAAACAAAAGTGCATCTAACCCCAAAAACTAAAATGGAACTTATTTCACTGTACCAGCACTTAAATGCTGCATTAGTTTTATTTGATCATGCTTTTTAACCTTTATTTTCATTGGGTAATCCTGGAAATAACAAACTTTAGTTAGTAGTTTACAAGAAAGACAGGAATATTTGTGACTTCTTTTCAGCTCCCAGGAAGCAACAATGAAAACATGCATTTCTGCAAGATCAACACTTATTTTCTGTACTTTCTGAAAATGTTTGTAGTAAAAAAAAAGAAAACTACTGTAGAACATATAGAAAATGCCTGCCAAATTGCTAGAAATGCAATGTCCTTGTCACTTCCTGTGACTTTAACAGATTGAAAAACGATATAATTCAACTATAATTCTCTCCATCCCCTAGGCCAGTGGTCGGCAAGCCGCGGCTCGCGAGCATGCGGCTCTTTTCAAACTTTAATGCGGCTCTTCCGTGTGCCGGGCGATCCGCCCGAGAAGAGGGAGGGGAGCGCCAAAGGCGCCCGGCACACAGAAGAGCCGCATTAAAGTTAGGACTCTGCAGCTGTCAGGATGTAGGTTATGGGCAGCCAGGATGTAAAGGCATGGCAGCATGACGAACTCCTCTCCTCTCACAGTCCGCCCTGAAGACCGGAACGGCGCGAGGAACGCGCGGAGCAAAGGTAAGTGAATTAACACAATATGGGGAATGAATTACTATAGGGGGGATGAATTACTTTATCTTGGGGATGAATTACTATGGAGGATGAATTACTATAGACCAGGGGATGAATTACTATATGGAGGATGAATTACTATATGGGGGATGAATTACTATGGGGGATGAATTACTATATGGGGGATTAATTACTATATGGGGGATTAATTACTATATGGGGGATGAATTACTATATGGGGGATGAATTACTATGGGGGATGAATTACTATATGGGGGATTAATTACTATATGGGGGGATGAATTACTATGGGGGATGAATTACTATATGGGGGATGAATTACTATATGGGGGATGAATTACTATGTCTCAGGGGATCTATTTACTATATGGGGGATGAATTACTATATGGGGGATGAATTACTATGGGGGATGAATTGCTATATGGGGGATGAATTGCTATTGGGGGATGAATTACTATGGGGATGAATTACTATGGGGGATGAATTACTATAGGGGGGATGAATTACTATATGGGGGATGAATTACTAGGGGGGATGAATTACTATGGGGGATCAATTACTATGGGGGATGAATTAAATATGGGGGATGAATTACTATATGGGGGATGAATTACTACTGGGGAATGAATTAAAATAGGGGTGATTAAAAATTACTATAGGGGGGATGAATTACTAGTATGGGGGATGAATTACTATATGGGGGATGAATACTATGGGGGATGAATTACTAAAATGGGGGACTGAATTACTATATGGGGGATGAATTACTATATGGGGGATGAATTACTATGGGGATGAATTACTATATGGGGGATGAATTACTATGGGGGGGGATAATTACTATAGGGGGGATGAATTACTATGGGTTATGAATTACTAGATGGGGGATGAATTACTATTGTGAATTACTATATGGGGGATGAATTACTATATGGGGGATGAATTACTATGCAAGATGAATTACTTATTGGGGGATAATTACTGAAAATGGGGGATGAATTACTATAGGGGGGATGAAAATTACTATGGAGGATGAAAATTACTATATGCTAGGGGGATGTATTTTCAGTTTTAAAAATGTGGCTCTCAAAAATAAATTTTCAATCGTGGTTTTGGCGAGATTTGGCTCAGTTTGAAAAAAAAGGTTGCCCACCACTGCCCTAGGCAATGGGAAAAAACAAAGGAAGGGGTTATCTACAAAAACTGGAGAGTGCAAAATCTGGTGCAGCTCTGCACAGAAACCAATCAGCTTCCAGGTTTTATTGCCAAAGCTTAATTGAACAAGCTAAATATAAAAGCTGATTGACTACAATGCACACTGTGCTGGATTCTGAGTGCACCAGTTTTAGAAAATCCCCCCAAAAGGGACAGAAAGTGTGTTATTCGTAAGGATTACCAGGTGAAAATATAAAAGGAAATACTGAAAAAAGAAAACTAGTGCAGCCACTAAACATAAAGACTGGCAAACTGAAATATATTCCATTTTTGTTTTTTGGGGTTTAGATATGCATTAAATATTTCATTGGCTGTGTATTAAAATCCTCCATGCTTGCAATTGAGGATTTTGGCTAGGGGACAGCAGATATTACCAACCTTCCCTCAAACCCAAAAATACCAAAATTTCCACCACCCCTTCCATTACTGTTCCAGCTTGCTACTTTGGGTGCGCTTGGTGTTCTTCGCCAACACACCCAGTCCCCCAGTTGCAACAGCAGCTCTTCCAGAGCAGAGTCAGGGGCCATGTCTTTATGTTTGTCCAACAGCAGCTGTTTAGCCCATTGCATCCACTCCCAATGATCCTGTACCCAGGATCTAGGTGTTTGTTGAGGTAGTTGTTAGGGATCTCAGCAGGAGGTCCATGGGCATCTGGCCATATCGCCCAAACATAAGGACCGGTGGACTGTATTGTTGTAGGTCCACACCATGGCCCCCATGTGCTGATGACACCAGTCCTGGTAGCTCAGTTCTGTACCTGCCCAGCAGGGTCTAGATGCTCACAAAGATTTCCTTTGGGCAGGTAACACATAGTGTTGAACAAATGTGCTCCAAAAAGAATGTTTTGGGCAGAGGTTGAACAATATGCTCGCAGAAGTGGTGTGGTAGCTGTCTGATGTTTGGTGGGCACCACCATTGCAATTTTGGTGAACTGGTCAGCAAAGACCAGCGCGTACTGATGTCTGGAAGGTGTGCTTGAAATTCTCAGAAAGTCTATGGTCACTAACTCAAACAGCTCATAGGTGGTGATGGTCATGGGTGTCACCTTCTCAGGGGAAACCTTATGGATAGTACAGTTTTCTGACTCCTGGCAGGATTTTTGCACCCAGTGTGACAGATGGGAACAAAAGAAGTACTCTGCACCAGTGACTCAGTCCGATCTGTCCTGGAATGGCCACCTGTAGTGCATGAACTACTTGACAGATTTCCAGCATATGCAACTAGGGGACCACAACTTGGAGGATGTCCTGTTTTTCAGAAGGGATGCAGGCCTGCTGGTAGAGTAGAAACATAAATTGGCAAAAGCACAGAAAAAAATTAAAAGTGTAGTAACATTTATTAAAAACAAATATTCAAGCTTACATTGAGATAAATGAAATGCTGCTTGGACATAGAGGGAAACCGTATGTGTGTAGAAGGTATACAGGGTCTATAGAACAGCAGCAGCTGTCAAGCACATGGAGCTGGACCCACCAGGAGAATAGGACAGAACACGGCTGTCCTCTACAAAAAATACTGGGATGTAGAAAAGGGGGCATGTACAACATGTTTCAGAGGCCCTGACTCCTCTTTTTTCAAGGTACTTCTACATCCTGGAGCTGTTCTATCCTCCTGGTGGATCTGGCACCATGTGCTTGACAGCTGCTGCTGTTCTGTAGACCTTGTATTCCATCTGCACATATATGGTTTCCCACTACGTCCAAGCAGCATTTTCTTTACTTCAATGTAAGTTTGGAAGTTTGTTTTTAATAAATGTATTATGCTTTTATGCATTCCTTTCGCTTTGGCCACTTTATGTTTCTACATGTTGCTGAGGATCCTTCTCTGATCTGATGTGCCTTAGCTGTGAAACCCCTGCTTCCATCCATCCATTCATCCACCTATCCATCCATCCATCCATCGTCCATTCGTCCATCCATCCCTGGATTTCTCCTTGCATCAGCTGTTACCTATGGCTGCGGACCACAACAACTCTTTGCCCAGAGCAATCATCACATTGCAAGATAAACCTCGCAGCATCATTTCCAGGTAATAAGTACTGTTTCTGTTTCATCCCATTTCCTTTTCATGAAGATTTTTCCTTGTCCTTCTAGCCACTACTTCCTCATGGAAAAATTATCTTGGAACTCAAACTGTAAGTGTTGAGAGACTTTTATTTACTACTGCCGGTAGAGTACTTTGTGCTGCAATTCCTAGGAGTCGATTCCATTGTCTCAGGATTGCCCGAGCCAGAGGGAACAACTTCTGGCACTCCAGAGAGGTAGGTCTGTACTTGTGAGAGAGGCAGCGCTACACCTGTATGAGGTCTGTGCCCTTTTGTTAGATCAGTGCCCATTCATCCCACCCATAGAGCTCCACTGATTTGGCCCACGGTCGGAACCCTGTCCCTCAATGGCATGTGAGGTGACTGGCACAGGCAGAACATGAGTGACCTCAATGTCTTCCAGGTTAGAACCCACATCGTCTCTTGGACGCTCCACCAGGAAATGTGTCAGGGCGTTGGCATGCTGATAAGCTTCCCTGGCTGTAATGTAACTTGAGCTTGAACCCTGCCAGGCGGGCAGCCCACCTCTGTTCCATCGCATCGAACTTGGCTGTTTCCTGGTAGGCAAGGGGGTTTTTGTCAGTGAAAAGACCATCGCAAAATACACCACAAATTTCTCAGTGATGACCCAGACCAGTGAGGAGTTCGAGCTTAAAAGAGCTGTGATTGTTTCTCTTGATGGACCGCAGGCTGCGACTGGCGTAAGCTATCACTCTTGCCTGTCCATCCTGCACTTAGGCCAGGACTACTCCCAGACCATGTAAGCTTCCATCCGTATACACCCGGAAGGGATTAGTATAGTCTGCATAGGCCAGTGAGGGAGAAAAGGTCAGTTTATGCTTCAGTATCTCGAAAGTCTGTTGCTGGGACTCCTGCCATTGGGCATGGATAGAAGGCAAGGATCTGCTCTTTTTCTGGGTATTTTGTGTCTGCTCAGCAACTGGTTCAGGGAAGCAGCTATATGGGCATATTTTGGAATGAATCTCCTATTGTACCCCACCAAACATAGGAAGTAGTGCAGCTCTGTGACAGTCATTGAAGGGAGCCTTGTCTTGAACAGCTTGTGCTTTAGCTGGGTCAGGGGATACTCTGATATTCCCTCAGCTTCCACCACATACCCCAGGTACTGTATCTTCTGTCTTACCATGCGGCACTTACTAGGTTTAAGTTTTTGTCCATATTGTATAAGACGTGATAACTCTAGGTCCAGATCTTTGAATGCATTGGGTAGATTAGCACCGTTCAAAGTTGAAGTCTCAAAGACATCTTTCCATTAAGCGCTAGAAGGTGCTGGATGTGTTGCTGAGGCGAAGGGCATCCAATTGAAATTGAACAGTCCCAGGAGTGTAATGAAGGCGGTTTTCTCCCTGTCCTGGTATCGGACCAGGACTTGCCATTAGCCATGTAGCAGGCCATGAGTGGAAAAGAACTTGGCCAAGGACCATGAAAGATTCTTCCACTTGAGGTTCTGGGTAGACATCCCAGTGGGTGCAAGCATTGAGTTTGCAATAGTCCACACAGAAACACAGGCCACCATCCTCCTTTCACACCAGAACAACAAGAGCACCCAGGGACTCCTACTCTCCTGGATCACTCTGAAGCATGTTATGGAGCAAGTCCTTAACCTCCTGGCACAGTGCTGGGGAAATGTGATGATATCGCTCATGGATGGAAGGTGTATCCCCTGTGTGGATTGGGTGGTCATTGGCCTCAGTGAATTCATAGTCTTCTGGGCTGGTGGTAAACTTAGGAGGTGTTTCTTCAGCAGTTGGTGGGGCAATCTCTGTTGTGGCAAAGGAAAGTTTTTGAAAGAAATACTAAATTGTTCCAGCACTGACTTGTACTGGGCTTCATCCCAGGATGCCATAGCTGCCTGCAGAGGGTCACCTACAGAAAGATGAGTTGCACTAAAATGAACCCCCGGGGGACCTTGGACAAGGTTCAGCCCACCAGCCACTCTCCTGGCAACACAGGGTCCTTGCGGGTTTCAACCATAACAGTAGCCCTCTGTAACCTCCAGACCACCTCTTGTAGGGGTGCTAGCAGAAGCTTTTGCCTCGGAGGCATGTGAACCACTTTGATTTGCTCCAGATGTTTCTTTGCTGCCTTCAATTGGGCCCCACAGGCCTGGAGCACTCTAAGCCACACTGCTCACAAACCAAAGCTTTGGGCTCGCCGGCCGGAATTTTGTGTTTGGCCAGCAGGTGAGGAAAGTCCAGGTCTTTCAGAACTACTTTGCCCACTTTGAAAAACCAGGAGGCAGGGAGTTATAAAGACTCTGATGACCCAAGATGGCATCTAGGGGTCACATGGATGCAATGCAGCCAACTGGCAAGCTGCTCCATGACCCAGGAAACCGCAAAGATACCAGGTTTCCCCTACTTCAGGACTTCAGACCTCTCCAGGCTTTGGTAGCACTTATTTGAGCACCCCTACAGTGGAGTAAACAGACTGCACCTGCCTACACATGGAATATATACCTGTACAAGTGTCTTATTTCTAGTTTTGGGCAGGTACACATATATCTAAGATGGGTCCAATCCATCATGCTCCAAACATTTTAACCAGCACTGACTTCAAAGACCCAGAGACCCCTGTCCGCTGCAATGACAATTAAATTAGGCAATAACTACCACATACAAATTACGTGCAATATCACAAACCATCCTACAAGTACCAAAATTCGAAATCAAAGAAAATGGGGAGGAGACAAAAAAGAGGAGGTGCAGGGATGGGTTTTCGACGCTGGTCAAGCTCCAACTTTCCAACTGATCTTCTGCAAGAGCCTCCTTCCTACCAGCCACCTGGATCCACTCTTGTGACTCCCACTCTTCCCAATTAGGTAGGTTCCTTTTTTCTGTTTATAACTAAACAAAATGAACCTACCTCTTCTGCAAGCCCTAGATGTGTTGGCCTCTCCTTATCTTTGCCTATGGCTTAAGGCCTTTTCAGCACAGATGGATGTGCAACACCCCTATTTCTGAAGCCTTTCAAAAACTTTGTTTACACTAAAGCTCTATAAACATTACGTAAACCACAAAAACTAATGATACGAACAATAACATTCAAAATAAGCTATTTAAAGAATAGCCACACTTTCTTAGCAATAAAAATTATTATAATACAATATAAAATTCTTTAGTCTATATGAACGTTTGAAGCTAAAGATAGGAAATATAAACACAACCTGTTATACGGTATAATGGAAGTTTCTACGATTTAAAATGAGTATGTAACCAAAATGAATCCCAAATTTTACAACCCGTCTCTTACCATATCCCTTGAAAGCTATCTCTGCAATGGCTAATTTGGCTCTATCAATGAAAACCTCTCCGTTATCGATTAAGGCTTCTCTCACCACATCATAACCGTTCAATACCACCGCCTTGTCCTGCCCCAGATGAACCATGGATACTGGGCCATATTGAGCGCCAAGCTGAGGATGCAAAAAAGAGAATCCAATCAATAATGTTCAAGGTCCTCTAACCTAACTTCAAATAGCATTAAACTATAAAAGATGAAAATGGTTAGATTGCAACTTACCAAATTCTTAGATGTGGTAGCTGAATTAGTTTTCTTTTTTTAGTCTTTTTTTCTTTATTTTCATCTGGTGATTGGCTAGTAAGTTGTTTTTTCAACTTCCTTTAACAGCTGTCCAGCAAAAGTAGCAGTTAGAGGGAAGAGACCAATTGTTTACCAATGACAGGGGTGCTTACAATGGTCAGCTTTTATTTATTTATGCTAAACCTTTATCCCAAAAGGATAAAAATATTGATGCAACTGTTTAAAAAGTGTTTGCTAGAGTTCAGCTTTAATTTGTTAGTCAAATCCACTGAAATCTACTACTCCATCTATCACTACCCTCCCCCAGACTGACAATGCTGTTGTTCAAGTGGCTCCATTGCTTCTCCATCCAGAATGGAGACACCCTAAGTTCCATTTCAGACGTGGAAGATCTACGAGTGTGATCCTCCTGCTCAGCGGGGGATCTCTCCACTGATTCCCACTTAGCAGACACTGCTTGCTGATTTTATTGGGACAGTCGGATGGAAACAGACCCCCTGTTTGTTTCCACCTGATTGTCATCCAGTCCTTTCCTCTGGACAGATGGGGAATGGATCTCCATCCGTCTGTTTTTGCAATACAGGATTGGATCGGATGCCAGCAGGTGTCAGCAGACAATAGTCCTAGAAGTCTATGGATGGACCGATCAGGTCTTCCTGAAAAAAGGGACAGGCGGACCCCATCGTTCCGCTTATGTGAAGGGGGCCTAAGACAAGAAATGTGTTACTTGATGGATCACCAGGTAAAAATAAAAGGGACAAAAAAGCCTAAAAAAGAAAACTAATTCAACCATCACATTTAAAGTGATACTAAAGCTTTTTTTGTCTTTAAAATAAAAAAAGATATTATACTTACCTGCTCTGTGATGATATATTGCACAGAGAGGTCCCTTACATCCTCTTCTAGAGTCCCCCATGGGCACTGTTCACTCCTTCTTCTTCCGAGTGTCCTCCAGAGTGGGCATGCTCCTGAGCTGGGCTGTGTATGTCCATAGACTCACACAGTGAATGTAAGCCATGCCCCTGATCCCTTCGCAGAGGAGTTTGACTGACAGCAGCAGGAGCCCATGGCTGCAGCTGCTGCCTGTGACTTCTATGAGACCAGGGAGTGGAGGTGCGGTGCTTCAGTCGGGACAGGTGAGAGGAGCCAGGAAAGTGTTTAGGGCCAGGAGGATCTAGGACAGGGAGTGGAGCATTTGTTACCTTAATGCAGAGCATAGGGTGTCATTTAGATTAAGCAGCACCATAGCACAACACACATACACAATATTGCCAAAAGTATTGGGCCAGCTAAAGACCTCCAAACTTTGTGTGGCCTTCAGATTAGCACAACAACAGTTTAGAGGGTTTCATGGAATGGTTTCCATGGCCGAGCAGCTGCATCCAAGCCTTACATCACCAAGTGCAATGCAAAGCATCTGATGCAGAGGTGTAAAGCACTCCACAATTGGACTCAAAAGAAATGTAGACATGTTCTCTGGAGTGATAAATCATGCTTCTCTGTCTGGCAAACTGATGGACGTGTCTGGGTTTGGCGGTTGCCAGGAGAATAGTACTTGCCTGACTGCAATGTGTCAAGTACAAAGTTTAGTGGAGGGGGGATTATGGTGTGGGCCAAGCTTTCCCACCCGACATCAGTGCCTGACCTCACAAATGCACTTCTGGAAGAATAGTCAAAAAATTCCCATAGGCACCCTCCTAAACCTTGTGGACAGCCTTCCCAGAAGAGTTGAAGCTGTTATGGCTGCAAAGGGTGGGACACCTCAATACTGAACCCCCTACTGGGATGCCAATAAAGTTCATGTTCATGTAAGGGCAGGCATCCCAATACAGTGTATATGTGGACGTTAACATGTGTGGCAGTACTGCACAATATCGCAGCACAGATGTGTGAAGCCAACATAATAGCTTGGATATCACTTTTCACATTGCTGAAAAACAGGAAGGCGTGCACTGACCTGCACAAAGGAATGGACTATATCCTTGAAATTAATCTGCAGGATGTTTCCCAATAGAGGCAGAGGAGTTGGGCCAGGTGGCAGTGCAGATTGCCTGTTCCTTCTCATCCAGACTGTCACCAGGAATGTCACAAAGAAGATGAGGATCAACGTCCCAATCCCCGAAAGTTCCATGTCTGGATTGTCACTGCCTCATATGTCCTGGAACAAACCCTGATGCTTAGTGCAGACTTCAACTTGTAAACAGAAACTTCGCTCTCTTGGCCATGATCCTAAATTACAATACTTATCCCAAGCTGCAGCCTGAGCGATCCCCTCCCCTTCGCGGGAATCTGGCAGATTGCCACCTCGAGTTGTGTAAGCCTGGAAGTGGTCATTAGGTAATGCATGCAGTCATCAGCAAGAAGGAGCCTTGTCTGTTCAAATGTAAAAAAGAAGAAGAAAAAAAATATCATACAATATACAACAACCAGAATCCAATAAAATGTGATATTCAATGAAAAGAGCAATGGTCTGTATCAAACCAATCATAGTTCTAGTTTTCCACAGATTAAAGTGATTATGTACCTACCAAATAAAAAACCCCCCACTAAGGCTTGGTAGTAGGGTTGTTACCTCGTCCCTTTAAAACCGAACACATATTAAGTTTACAGGTTTTGAGGCTAATTTTTCGCAGATAAGGCATCAAGTGAGCTTAATTATCACCTTAATCAGCCACAGAACCTGTGTAATGAATATGTATTTGGTTTTAAAGGGATGAGGGGGCAACCCTAACCTACAGGTATGACTGAGCACGCACACTAGGGTTAGCACCTAGGGTTGCCTCATCCCTTTAAAGGATAAGTTCACCTTTTAGTAAAAAATAATAAACGCACTTTTTTTTACAGGTAAAAAAAATGTGTATTTATTATTTTTGCCCGCAGGAGCTTGTAAAGCATAGCACCAGCGATCAGCAGATCACTGGTGCCATGCAGATCTCCTGCAGGTCTGTCAGAATTCTGCTTGTCTGTGTGGGATGTACGAACAAATAGATATACTGACAGGAAGACTGAGTGAACTACCATGGGGCTCCACAGTTCCATGGCAGTTCATTGAGGACTACAAGCTGACAGCCACTAGAGATGCTTGGACTTGTAGTCTCTCATTCACAGATCATTGTGAATGAGTGATGCAGCCAGGTGGCGGAGCGGAGCCCCACTCGGCTGTTTTTTTGGTGGTAATTAAACTCAACTGGTGCCTTATCTACATTAACCCCTTGCCCTCCAGAGGATTTACCCCCCCTTCCTGACCAGGCAATTTTTTGCAATGCGGCGCTGCGTTACTTTAATTGACAATTGCACGGTCATGCAACGCTGCACCCCCACCAGCACCCGGCGATGTGTAAAGAACACATTTCTCTGCACAACATGTCTCCCTAGTAAAACACACACAGCACACAATGTGAAACACACACAACACACAGTTAACCCTTTGATCACCTCAGATGTTAACCCGTTCCTGCCCAGTGCAATTAGTGCCATAACATTGGGACACTTGTTGATGGTATATTTTGAAACACGATGCACAGGAGATATACCGCACAAGCACATGTGAAGATATTGGAGTGTTAAAGGGACAGTTCAGTTCATTTTGTATGGTACATTTGGTATTTGTATACACTATTTATTTAGCACTGGTATATGTAGTTTTATGGATATTTATGTATGTGTGTTGCTATTTATTTTGTTGTAGCACATGTTAATGTCACATAGCACAATTTTCTGTTTTCACTATTCACATATGCAAATTGGATTTATTTATCACCGTATTTGAGTTTATAGTACTGCGCTGCATTTTTTTAAATTTATTTTTTCAAAATTGTTGGTCTTTTTTTTTTGTATATAGCGCAAAAAATAAAAAATGCAGAGGTGATCAAATACCACCTCAAGAAAGCTCTATTTGTGGGAAAAAAGGACTCAAATGTAATTTATGAACAGCGTTGCATGACCATGCAATGTCAGTTAAAGTAACGCAGTGCCGTATCGCAAAAACTGGCCTGGTCAGGAAGGGAAGGAAATCCTCTGGAGGTAAGTGTATTCCTGCCTAACCATAACTATTCTCAAAAATTTTACCCCCCCCCAACTTATTACTGACCCTTAAAATCTGCCTGACTAAGGACCCCTAAACTCTGCATCTCTTGTTACTGACCCCTGAACTTTAAGCCACGGCCAATATTCTGTACAATGAGAACCACACCCTATATTTGCTCTATTTCACAGCCAGGAGACTTATAATTTTGCACTCAGGCCCACTGTAAGCCACATGCTGGTAGCATCATCACTTTCTCGCAGCTTCCCTGCACAGGCTGCATTTGCTGATATGTTAGGAAATGTATCAGTAGTTGGGCTTGCATTGCAAAGCATACGCTTTTTTAACTAGGTAGCCAAATGACGGTTGTACTCACGGTCGGCCAGTTCTGGGAGGCTGTCATATGACGTCCTCCCCAGAATGCGGTCTGTGGGCCCCCAGGGGCTTGCACGTGGCGATCTCTGTGATCGCTGTGTCCTACGGACACAGCTGATCGCTGATATGGTAAAAGGCCAATCACTTTCTAATGACACACCGATCACGGGAAAAATGCAATTGCCAATTCTCGGCTGCACATTCCTCACGCTGTCAGAGCACTGAGTGCCACCTGATTGGTGCCCAGCCTGACTATCAGTACCCTTCATCAGTCGCCTATCATGCCACCTATTAGTGCAGTCTATCCGTGCCACCTCATCAGTGCTGCCCGTGCCCTGCCCTTCAGTGCCGCCTATCAGTGCCACCTATCAGTGCCACCTATCAGTGCAGCCTATCAGTGCCGCCTATCCGTGCTACCTCATCAGTGCTGCTTATCAGTGCTGCCTATCCGTGACCATCAGTGACCATCAGTGCTGCCTATCAGTGCAGCCTCATCAACGCACATCAGTGAAGGAGAAAAATTACCTGTTTGCAAAATTTTATAATAGAAACAAAGAAACTTTTTTTTCAAATTTTTTGCTTTTTTTTTGTTTATAGTGCAAAAAGTAAAACCCCCAGCGGCAAGTAAATACCACCAAAAGAAAGCTCTGTTTGTGAGAAAAAAATGAAAAAATTTCATATGGGTATAATGTTGCATGACCATGCAATTGTCATTAAAAGTGCGACAGCGCTGAAAGCTGAAAGTTGGCCTGGTAAGGAAGGGGGTATAAGTGCCCGGTAGGCAAGTGGTTAATATAATGAAATCATCATGGAGGGGGTGGGGTGGGGTAAGCAAGTAGCTGGTCTTGCCTAAGGCACAAAAAAGTGAAGCACCTGCCTGTGTAGCTGCTGCATCCCAATTTACATGAATGGGACTGCCTGCATAGAAATGCACAGAACACGTTACTTTGTGTTTGTGGGCACTATAATGATTTTAGTATATGTTTACTGAAAAGAGCGAGTTTAGAAATATTCATGCAACTATTTCAGGGCCCAAAAAATCTGTAGCAATTTTTTTTTTTTAATCTACAGGATGTGCTTTTCGAAAATATATGGTTTGGATTTTTTTCTTCAAATTCAGAAAGCTGTAAGGGAAACATATTTTAGCGCACCTTTCCTAACACATTACCCAGTCCATATCAGTATAGATATCCAGGATGATATTTTTCCCCATTGAGATCTGATGTGTTTTCAAAGTGTTCCTTTAAGTTTTTTGAGCAGTGTATATCTGGTGGATGTCTAGGGAGACATCTTTGAACGTTTATTCTCTTTTATAGAGGTATATACAGCCATATCTGGCATTTATATGGACACTATTCCACCCATTACATTACTAGAGTAGGGATTCCTCTAAAAGGGGAGCTAACACCTGCTTACAATTTTCCCTTTAACATGCAATAGTGGCAACACAGCCATCTACTGGCAGGCAAGCTAATTGCACCGACCAATAATCACATTTAAAGCTGCCCCAATGAGATAGTTATAGTCTAACAATTGTTTGCAATGGGATTTTCAAGACAGTGGATAGCCTAGTTGTCAATTAACAAACCCAATGTCAGAATGAAATTGTACATTGAAACTGATTTCAGAGCTAACATATTTTAAATCATAAACGGGCTGTGGAAAAGTGTCAGGAAGGAGAAGGGGGGGAGGGGAGGAGTGCCTCAGGGCCAGGGGCGGACTGACAACTCATGGGGCCCCCGGGCAATAGGGGATCATGGGGCCCCTGTGTCCTTGCCCATACTCAAAAAAGCCTATGAAAAAGGTACCAGGGGCATCTCAAGGGGCCCCCTACTGACCCCGGGCCCTCGGGCAGTGCCCGAGTTTCCAAATGGTCAGTCCACCCCTGCTCAGGGCTATAATGGGAAAGTGCAAGTCCAGCAATAGTAAAGGGGTAAGTCTCATAGGTCTATCAGGACATCGATCAAAGTCTGTCAGTGGGAGATATGAGATCCTGGGACCCTGGTTTTCTTACATTTTGGTATAGAGTCAGTTAGCTTTGCTGTCAACCTTTCATTGAAAAAATGTGTTATGTACAGTAGGCTGGTGTTGACTTCAGTTAATGGAAGACTGCTGGACAACCAAGCTTTTGTGATTTGTTTGGTGGCTGTCAGAACATGTGTCATAAGTCTCATAACTTTAAATTTTAAAACATACAGCAGGCAGAAAGGGAACCCCTCATAATGGCCATGGCAATTGTGCAGACCCAGAACTTAGCATAGAAATCCTTCTAACAAAAAAGATGAGACATGTAAGAAACTGTTGAATGGTTTACTGGTTCACCATCTGCAAAAAAACTAAGATATCACTCTAGTAGCACTATCCCCTTAGGAGTCACTGAAGATTTGGGTCCCCCTATAGTCCTGACAGCCAGGCAACATGCATTTCCTTCACACAGACTTGCATCCGGGAGGCAGTAACCAGACCTCAAGCTTGTTTTTTGGACTTTATTAGGGGAATTAGATCTTAGATGGGGTAAGGGGTGTATAGGATGCCCAAGGGTAATGGCAACTGAGGACAATCTCCCTGAACTATGTACAAGTCTCTTTAACAGCAAAGAACAGATCCTCCTTCTTGAAGAGCTAGCCAGAATCTCCTGGTGTACCACCCCAGACCCAAGATTCTCCTAATCCAGATGGGCAGGGGAGCCAGTGCCTTTCACTTTAAGGGTAAGACAGGTAGTATCTAATCCAGTTTCCCACTGAAGTGCTCCTTCCCCTTACTAGCCCAGGCGGTGCAGGTCTACTCACTCAGTCCTTTTTACTATAAGCGGATGGGTTGGTAGCTGCTCTCAGGCCTTCTGCTGGGCTGCTCCTTCTCTGCTACATAGGTG